GCCCAACTCCATTCTGCCATGCAGGAACACAAAGCAGAAGCACTCTTGAAAGATGCCCATCCAACCTCTGTTTAAAGACCTCCAAAGCTGGAGAGCCCACCATACTCCAAACGGGTAGGCAACCTGTCCCCTTTAAGGGCCGAGGGACTTCAGCTCCCAGAAGCCTCAGCCATGTTGGCCAATAGTCCCATGTTGGCCAATAGCTCCTGGGATTTTGGGAGCTGAAGTCCCTCGGCCCTTAAAGGGGAAAGGTTGCCTACCCCTGCTCCAAAACAATCTATTCCACCTTCAAACAGTTCTTACAGTTTAAAAAAAAGTTCTTCCTAATGTTTAAGTGGAATCTCTTTTCTTGTAATTTGCATCCATTGATTCATGTTCTAGTCTCTGGAGCAACAGAAGACAGCCTTACTACATCTTCTACGTAATATCCATTCAGATATTTAAAGATAACTATCATGTCACCTCTCATGTATCTCTTAAGTATGGTAATGCATGAAGAGAATGAAGTGACAGTTCAGCAAGTAAGCCAGTTGCCAGCCCATGCACCTCAAGGCCCTAAGTTGCTGCTCAGTGAACTAAAGTGCAGGCAGCCATGCGATGAGTTATGAAGCTGTAATTATTCTAGAGGAGGTGCAAATTGCTACTCATCAGAGTTTAGTAGGTGGTATATAGGAATGCGAAGATGGAATACAATAAGCCCACAGTATGATTATTTTTGTTATAAATCTTTGTGAATCAGATGGAAATTGTGCCCAGTGACAAGCAGCTCAGGGAGCTGGGTGTTTTAGCCTAGCCATATTTAGATATTTGAAAGGATGCCATATTGAAGATGGAGCAAGCTTGTTTTCTGCTGGTCCAGAGACTAGGACCCGGAGCAATGGATTCAAACTGCAGGAAAAGGGCTTCCACCAAAACATTAGGAAGAATTTCCTGATGGTAAGAGCTGTTAGACAGTGGAGTAGGGTGCCTTGGAGAGTGATGGAGTTCCTTTCTTTGGAGGTTTTGTAACAGAAGCTTGATGGGCATCTGTTGGGAGTGCTTTGATTGTGAATTCCTGCACAGCATGGGGTTGGACTGGATGGCCCTTGAGGTCTCTTCCAACTCTATGATTTTATGAGTGGGTCACCATAATCTTGGACTGTTCAGATATTACAAGATGGTGAGAATTCTTGGACAGCAGTCTGGAGCTGCTTCCTTCTGTGCTCCAGGTATGTGAATCCTTTGGGCTTTGGAAAACTTTTGTCTCAGTGCTGCTCATTGATTTGATCTGACCTCTTTCTTTTAGTACTGTTTGTCCGGACATCCAACACTACCATGCAACGTGCTGAAGTTCAAATCCACCACCATCATGCTAGATTGTGGGCTGGACATGACCTCTACTCTCAACTTTCTCCCCCTCCCTTTGGTCCAGAGGTATGTCCCAATACTTGAGTATATATTTCTTCTTCATAAACAGTATTGAGGGATGGGAGTGGATGGGGGAAATCTTAAAGGACAGGGTAGGGAAATGACGGTGCTGTTGGAGGAGGCCCAGAGTCGGGTTAAAGGAGAGGAGACTTCAAGTGAACACGCAGTATCATCTGATAGCATAAATAGACTTTACCCACTTAAAAATTCCCTTTATCAAAATAACGTCCTTTGGCTCAGTAGACGGAAAACGTTTTATGGATTTATCGATTCAGTTTTCCAGATAATTTATTCTAAGCTTCAGTAAAGTATTGCAGCAGCAGCTCAGCACAAGTGAGGTCACAGATCTGTCATCTTTCTGGCTTCTTCATGCAAGAGGAGATAAATGAGAGGCCGATCTAAAGTGCAGGCATCCCAGACATATATATATATATATATATATATATATATATATTCCTTTTTCTACTCCATGTTAACCAGCAATCTTACAAGCCATTCAGTGCAGTCGGAAGCAAAGCCTGGTAATGGTTAGAAATTTCTGGTCACAGTGAATTTTTGCTCCTGTTTATTGGAGTGATGGGGAACCTTCAACCTCTGAGGTTGCATCTGCACTGCAGAAATAATCTAGTTTGACACTGCTTTAACTGCCCTGGCTCAATGCTGTGGAATTCTGGGAATTGTACTTTGTTGGGGCATCAGAGGTCTCTGACAGAGAAGGCTAAATGTCTCACAAAACTATAATTCACTGGATTATTTGTGCAGTGTGGATGCAGCCTGAATAAGCCTTCCTAAGTCCTTAAATGGGTCTACTGGTGTTCTCCAGATGCCTACACCTCCTTCTTAGGGGGGAAGCAGATGGGCAGCACGGGGCCGCCCCGGGAAGCTGCGGATCGGGGCCGAGGTATCCACACACCTAGGCCCCGCGGCGCAGCGTCCCAGGCCCAGGAAGGAGCGCTAAAATAGCATAAAATGCACAAAATTGTTAAAAATATTGTATAAAATTACCTTCAGACTGTGAGTATAAGGTGAATATGAAGCATAAATAAATTAATTTTGTGTTTAGACTTTGGTCCCATCCCCAAGATATGTACATATAGGCAAATACAGGTATTCCAAAATCCAAAAAAATAAAAAAAATCCAAAATCTAAAATATTTTTGGTTCCAAGCATTTTAGGTAAGGGAGACTCAACCTATTGGCAAGTTAAGTGCTTTAAGTTAAAAATATGCTGATATTTTCAACCCCACCTTTTTTGCCTTTGGCTCCACCCAACTCTTGAATTCAGCCTCCAAGAACTAAGGGGGGTTGCAGACTGCCAGAAATAGTGCAAATTGAGTCCACTTTTAGGGTTAAGTTTAGGTTTAGGGAATCATGGGAACTGTATTTTATCTGACAGAGAAGGCTCAATGTCTCAGAAAAAAAACAATTACCATGATTCCCTAGCACTAACCCTAACCCTAAAAGTGGACTCAATTTGCACTATTTTTGGAAGTTTGCAACCCCCCCCCCCATGAAACTAAATTGGGCTTTGAGAAAATCTCCACTATTCTTAGAATCATAGAGTTGGAAGAGACCACAAGGGCCATCCAGTCCAACCCCCCTGCCATGCAGGAACTCAAAATCAAAGCATCCCCGCTTATTGCAAGCGATTAAACTATCTCTCATTATACTCTAAGGTGAGGATCTGCATGTACTCAGACCTATCCCTGGTCAGTGCCTGGAGTTTGTAAGGGACGCAAAGTGGGATGTAAATGTAATATTTATGTAGTAACAGACTACTGTCAGCTACATGAAAGACTCAGATCGTCTCACACAGCTCTCTGAAGGTTTATGACCAAGGTCATAGTTTGCATCTTTCTGTATCCCATTACACTTAGCTCTCACCTCCTTCAACTATGGAATTATGTCTAAATGCCCATGGCTTTACTATCACCTTATCTGAAAAAGCAGATTGAAGCCCATAAAAGCTCATGCTAAAATAAATGTGCTGCTAAATTTCTCTCCCCCGCTCTCCCTTTTTTCTTTTTATGCTACAGCAGACTAGTATGGTTATCTTTTTGGAAAATTAGTATTTATGTGCCTCTCTGTAGAGCAAGGGTAGGTAGATACCAAGAGTCCCAGGACCACTCCACCCCATTTTCATACATACTGTACTTGGAGTATATACTGCCTCCTTTTCAAAACTGGAAGTAGGTGGATGTTCATTGGCAAATTTCAAAAAGGTGTTTTAAGCCTAATGCAGGTCTCTGTGTGTATCTGTGTCTCTATGTGTGTACTTCAAATAGCCTTAAATGACCAATTGTGCCTCTTAGAGACTTGTAGGAGCAAGATTGGACATTATTGTATGGCTGTGAGGTCACATTTCTGAGCCAGCATGGTTTAAGCCTTGAACTACTGGTGCATCTACACTGCAGAAATAATGCAGTTTGATACCACTTTAATGACCATGACTCCATCCTACAGAATCTTACATATTTGTAGTTTTGATTCACCAGAACTCTTCAGTAGAGAAGGCTAAAGACATTGTAAAACTACAAATCCCAGGATAGAGGATGGAGTTACAGCACTGTGAGTCAAACTGTATTATTTCTACAGTGTAGATACTCCCTCAGATGCTGGAGACCAGGGTTCAAATCCCTGCTCAACCATAGAAAACCACTGGGTGACCTTGGACAAGTCACACTCTCTTTATGCTGCTTGGCCAAATTTTACCTCATTATAAAAATTGTCTTCTTTCTTTTTGTGCTCGTCTTTGACTATAATAAATTATTGATTGATTGATTGACTAACCTTGGGCAAGTCACACTCTCTCAGCCTCAGAGGAAGGTAAAGGCAGTCTCCCTTGGAACAAATCTTGCCAAGAAAACCCCATGATAGGTCAGAAATAACTTGAAGGCACACAACAATAACAATACAGCAGTAGTAGAAGAAGGAAGCAGTAGTTGCCTTTTTTTAAAAACCCATACACTGTAAAGGCTGGAAACCTGGCTTTATTAAAAAGGAAAGAAAAGCGACTTTTCTCCAGAAATCTTGGACTTTCTCTGTGCTTTGCTATCCCAAAAAGTTGTGATATATCTGGCTGTGAGTCATCCTGGCCATGGTTAATGTAAAATTAGTTTACTCCTCTTGGCAAAAAAAAATAGGCTCAGATGTTGATTTCGCAAGAATCGCAGCTTCAGCTACAGAAGAGCTTGTCCATTTTGGGAGACTAGTTGATGGGTGGACATATCCTTTCCTGCACCAAAATCATAATACAGGAGAGGCTGAGATTTGGTGGCAGAGAGGCTGTTAACCTTTCTTGTCTGGCGGAGGAGCACATCTCCTTGGCTTATTTATGTGACAGTTTGAACTGTGTAGGATTCATCTCTCTCTTCACTGCAATGTCAGAAGCCCATCAGCACAAATTGTTTTATTTGTGTGGCTTCTGGTAAAGAGTCTCCATATCAATGCAGCAATGGTCCTGATCTCTGCTGCTCATTTGCATCATCAAGAGGGAACATCTTGTTGCTCGTGAAAAAGGCACAGAGAGTCCCTGAGCAAAGAGTTTAACTACCTGACTCTCATTTTAAAAATTATGTATTTGTATTCCATTATGCCAGTGTGATGTAGTGGTTTGAGTGTGGAGCTATGACTCTATGGACCAGGGTTCAATTCCCCGCACTGCCGTGGGAACTCACTGGATGACCTGCGATGAGTCACACACTCTCAGCCCCAGAAAACTCAGTGATAGAGTCACCTTGGGGCTGCTATAAGTCAGAAACATCTTGAAGGCCCCCAACAACAACAAATCCTATCCTGAGGAGCAGAAGGTGGCATAGAAGGCATTAGCCATTTTTAAAACCAGACACAACCCTGCAAGATGGGAGAACCAGTGTAGTGTAATGGTTTGAGCATTGGACTATGACCCTGGAGATCAGAGTTCAAATCCCCACTCAGCCATGAAAATCCACTGGGTGACCTTAGGCAAGTCACAGTCTCTTGACCTCAGAAGATGGCAATGGCAAACCCCCTCTGAAGAAACTTGCTAAGAAACCATCATGATAAATTTAACTTAGGGTCACCATAAGTCAGAAAGGATTTGAAGGCAAAACAACACCACACACAACAACCCTGCAAGGTAGGCTAGGCTGAGAGTATGTGTGTGTGTCTGTACTTTTGTAGATTGCAGTCCACTTTTTTATATATGCTGGTGGAATGATATTAAAGCTACAAGTATTTAAGTACAGCTACATGGTTGCGGTGGTGGAATCAGAGGGTAATAGGCTGCTGAAAGATGCAGGTCAAAATCATGCATCCTATTACAGGTGAATCATTACCTGTAGCTACAGTGATGGAGATCTGTCATTGTAGCTACGTCTGTTGATGTCATCGTCATCGTTGCCATTGTGTGAGTTCAAGTCATTTCTGAATTATAGTGACACTAAGGCAAACCTATCATGGGGCTTCCTTGACAGAATTTATTCAGAGAAGGTCTGCCCTTTCCTTCCTCTGAAAATGACAGAATGTGACTTGCCCAAAATCACCCAGTGGCTTTCCATGGTTGAGTGGAAAGGGACACCATTTTACTATCCATTGTATTTAATGGGACATGAACATCCATAGATTTTGGTATCCACAGTGGGTCCTGGAACCAAAACCCAGTGGATACCAAAGGCCCACGGTATAACATTCTGTTTCTTCCTCAGCAGCTAGAATATGGCCCTTTACAGACTGCCAGAAATAGTGCAAATTGAGGCCACTTTAACTGTCCTGGTTCAGTGCTAAGGAATCATGGGAACTGTAGTTTATTGTGGCACCAGAGCTCTCTGACAGAGAAGGCTCAATGTCCCAGAAAAAAATACAGTTCCCATGATTCCCTAGCACTGAGCCAGGACAGTTAAAGTGGCCTCAATTTGTACTATTTCTGGCAGTCTGTAAAGGCCCTATGTCTGAATTCCCATTATTGCAGACTGAAAGCACAACTTGCAGAGTACAAATGATTTACCTGTCTACTCCACCCTTGCCTATGTTGGTTTATTACATCTATTACAGTGGGAATTGACTGACTTCTCTGTATAAAACCTTCTCTGGACCCAGAGACTATAACAATCAACACCTTGTTGCAGGATTCTTGGGGATGGGGAGTGAGGGGTACTTGAGGAAATGCTTGTTCAGATCCCCACAGGGGTATCTGATGGCGCCACTGTCTTGAGGATGTCAAATCTACTCTCAGCTTTCCGGTTGGCCCTCCTACAGCTTTTCCATGTTGTGTAGAGCTCATCCAGTGCCAACTTTGTGTGCAATAATAGGCTTCTGCACCTGCATAGCACTGGTGCAACCTGAAGCAGCTGCAAGAAGAAGTGTTGTAAAACTAAGAGCAGATTCACCATCCCTTCCGCAGTGGACCAAGGCATCCTTGAGATCTAGCTCTCTATCCTTCTGGACCAGACATGAGCAAATTGTGGCCAGCAGGCCACATGCAGCCCCTGAACCTCACTTCCATGACACCTGAAGCCCTCCAACCCCCAATTTAAAACAAAACAAAACAAAACACAATGGCATGATTTTTGTACCAAAAACCATGTAGAAAGCCCCCAAAACATGCAAACACTCCCAGCCCAAAATTGAAAGCCAAGTCACATCCCCCCAAATATTTTGGTTTTCTTCAGAGTCCTTCTCAAAATGGCATCAGGAAGTGATGTAATGTCACCTCTGGTAGACATTTGGAGAGAACTTAAATGAAGATAGAAGTATTTGAGAGCTTTTTTTGTAGGTTTTTCGGGCTGTGTGGCCATGTTCTAGAAGAGTTTCTTTCTGACGTTTCGCCAGCATCTGTGGCTGGCATCTTTTCTCTGAAGATGCCAGCCACAGATGCTGGCGAAATGTCAGAAAGAAACTCTTCTAGAACATGGCCACACAGCCCGAAAAACCCACAAAAAAACTATGGATGCCGGCCATGAAAGCCTACGACTTCATATTTGGGAGCTACCCATGAGGGGATTAAAGGGGGGAAATTGACCTCTGGCCCCCACGTGGTTTTGGACCACAGGCTTATGAGTGGGAGTGGGACTGATACATTGGCTCTCCTCCTACCTCAAAGGTCAGTTCTAGAAATTCACATAGCAAAAGGCCAGGTCTCCTTCACCCTACAAGAGTTATGAGGTCTTTCAGGGTTCTGTCACATACATGAAGGCACCAGGTAAAATCATCTAGTTATCTGGAGCAAGTGGCTATTATTATGCTGATAATATTCAGTTCTGTTTGTCATTTCTAGCTATAGAAGTATTGAACCACTGCCCAGATGTGGCAAAGATGAAAGTACAGCAGGTTGATGAGTCTCAGATCTATGACACAGATGTCTTACATGGCATTCCATTTCCTGCTAAATTGCAAGAGCACAGTTTGGGGGTATTCTGAACAGTTTGGAGTGCCCTGAGAGACCACTTTATGGATCCAATTGATCCTTGAAGTCACTTGGAGAGACCCTCCTGTTGGGGCCACACACTCCTCAGCTTCTCTTTACATTGTTGTATGCCTTCAAGTCATTTCTGACTTACAGGGACCCTAGAGTGACCCTATGATGGGGTTTTCTTGGCAAGATTCATTCAGAGGAATTTTGCCATTGCCTCCTCCTGAGGCTGAGAGTATGTGACTTGCCCAAGATCACCCAGTGGCAGAGCTGGGAATCAAACCCTGGTCTCCAGAGTCTTAGTCCTGCAATCAAACCACTATGCCATGCTGGCCCTTGGTTTGACATAATTCTAATAGTTTTTAACTACTGCATGTTGAAAATGTAAGTATATCTGCAAATCTTCCTAGTACAGTACAACATAACATCTATCTCATGGGAATGTAAACATTGTATTACATTTTCATGCATTTTCTATGCTGAATATTTTGTTATTACTATACCAGTGATGGCAAACTTTTAGAGACTGAGTTGCAAGCCAAAATCCACTTATTTATCGCAAAGTGCCATGTCCCTCTGGCTTTCTAGTAACAAACTTTGTACTGGGGCGACAGGGTGCGTGCCCACAGAGAGGGCTCTGAGTGCCCCCTGTGAACACGTGCAGTAGGTTCGCCACCACTGCTGTGGAATCATGAATTCTGAGTGCTTCATGTACATATTTGTAGGTAACTATATAAACAGTGAGATCCAGCTTTATCATTAGCAGCAGGATTAATTCTGGATCAAAATAAATGTGAGGTTGATTACAGTAATAATAATAATAATAATAATAATAATAATAATAATAAT